GCAAAGTGTTCTTCCAACTCCCTTTCAAAATAATTTTGCCTGGCTGCAGCTCTCTCTCCATGCTAAACTTCCACCACAGATCAGTGCTTTGTCATTTTATCACCGTTTGAAGCACTGTCATTTTAAATTATATGACAGTCACAAGGAAAGTACCTGATGTGTCCAAATGATGAACCACCATCTCCTGCCAAAAACAATAAAGTGGCAACACTTATTTTCTGCTGGGTAAACCTCTTCATTTCTGTATTACAGAAGGCTTCTCTCGAAGCTGAAAAATAGCACTTTAGCAGCCCCGGAACATTTGCAATCTTGAGATCCTCCCCTTTCTGTGCTCAGCCAGCTCTAAAAATCTGATGGGAGAGGAACTACTGAAAGTTTTAATGTCAAAATTTTTTCCAGCACTGCTTCCAAGTCATTCATGGCTATTTAGCACATACCTCACAGAACTGTGCAGGGCACCATCTGCAAAGTGGTACAGATTATAGAGACTGCAAATAAACAGGTGTGTGTCTCGTCATCCCACTGACCATTTGAGAGATGCCTGGAACAGCAGCAGCCCATCATCTGTGGGGAAAAATAACACCACACTGCAAGCAGCCTTGGTCCCAGGGACTCTTAAAAGTGAGGAATGAGGAACATGTGCTCCAATTGTGGGCAAAAGACATGATTTTATCCCAGAGCATGAAATCTTAAAAGCATACTATTGGGTCAGGCTGAAGCAAACACACAAAGCCACTGAAATATTCAAGCACTCATTAGCATAAATGCAAACTGGAGTGAAACACTTCAAAAGCTGATAATGCCAGGGGGTTTTACATTACTACAAGATTTTGTTTCATCCAAGCTTTTCTTTTATCGTTATTATCTGAACATGCAACATATCCTCGAGTTATTTCTCTATTTAAAAAATGGTGTTAAAATGCTTTTGCTTAACAAGCACTTGTAAATCTTTCTACACCAGACAACCAGAGCTTTGTTGCATGTGTTGCAGGAGGTTATTGATGCCAAATTCCTCTGCAGCTTGTGTGGCTGCACGTGAGTGTGCTGGAAGCAGGCTCTGAGCAGGGAGGATGTCCTGTGCCAGGATCCTGGAAATGCAACCTGCCTCTGTCACTTGTTATTCTTGGGCCATGCTGGTTTCTGGCCCCTTGTCACAGGTCAGAGTTGGGTTTTCCTTGGGGACCATGACCATGAGGTCCCTTCTGTCCTAGAAGATGTAAGTTCAGAATTTTGGGTGGGTAATTTTGTGAATGGCCCTTCCAGCTAGAACTGTTGAGCACAAGGAATGCTTCTCTTTCTTTTCTCTGTTCAATCAAGTGTATGTGAATTTGTTCAGCTATAAGAAATCACTTCAGACAAAATTCTGAATTTTTCAATTACAAAAAAATATAAAAAAGGAAATCACTTCGCAAAATTGTGGCCATTTGTCTATCATAGTATATAGTTTGCTTCAAAAAAAAAAAAAATCCAAGGAGATCTACTCTGAAAGGATTTGCACAATTTATGATCTCTCAAGTGCTCACTTCTCGTGATAATTTATTTGTGGGGAATTTTTGAAGGAATTTGAGATGGGACTTTTGAGTTGGTTTTTGATGACGTAATTTATTTTTCTTTTACATAGTTAGGAAGTGTGTGTTTGGCTCACATTGTTACAGTGTGGGTCAGAAGGTCACTAGACTCTAAGTTTTAAGGAGTTATTGACTAATAAAACCCTACCAACAAGTATATTTAAGTTTTTGACTTAATCTTTAAATATTTTGTCTTATGAACTTATGTTACAGTGTAAGCTTTCTTAGTTAATCACATTATGACACAAACTTACAGTATTATATTTTAATCTCGTTTACTTTTCTATTTTTTTTTAATATTTTAAACTCTAAAACTTTAAACCTTNAAAAAAAAAAAAAATCCAAGGAGATCTACTCTGAAAGGATTTGCACAATTTATGATCTCTCAAGTGCTCACTTCTCGTGATAATTTATTTGTGGGGAATTTTGGAAGGAATTTGAGATGGAACTTTTGAGTTGGTTTTTGATTACATAATTTATTTTTCTTTTATATAGTTAGGAAGTGTGCGTTTGGCTCACATTGTTACAGTGTGGGTCAGAAGGTCACTAGACTCTTAGTTACAAGACTTTTTAAGGAGTTATTGACTAATAAAACCCTACCAACAAGTATATTTAAGTTTTTGACTTAATCTTTAAATATTTTGTCTTATGAACTTATGTTACAGTGTAAGCTTTCTTAGTTAATCACATTATGACACAAACTTACAGTATTGTATTTTAATCTCGTTTACTTTTCTAATTTTTTTAAAATATTTTAAACTCTAAAACTTTAAACCTTTTTTTACTCAGCTTAACATGTCTCTGCTTTAAACTATAAATCTACATTCTTGCTTAATACTTAAGTACTTAGGTAAAAACTTAAATACTAAGTTTGGAAGCTTTTTTTAAGGTTTTAGATTGAATCCTGTGTTTAATTTTAAGCTTTGGCTTACAGGCCTAAACTTCTGAGAGTTCTTTGCATTTCAGATTCCAGCAACTTCCAAAAAATACCTTTTTGAATTCTTCCCCTCTTCTCCTCTGCAAAGGGGCCCATCCTGCTCGTTTTGGAGAGGTGAATGCAGCATTTCCCCCGTCACCAGCTGAGCAAGGTGACAGCCAACACTGGCAGCCCCAGACTTTCCTACAGAGCTCCCCTGGAGATGTTCTGCCACTTCCCCAGCTGGGGGGATCTCCTCTTTCAAAGCCCTTCAGCACCTAAGCTGCAAAAATAAGTGAAATTATTTCAAGAGTTAAGGCAGCACTGAGGAGCTGGATGAAATGGATGGCAATGCCCTGTGCCATTGCTGCTTACAGACAGTGATGGTCTTCTCTTCCAGGTTACAGTGAAAATAAAACTGAGGCAGGATCCTGACTCAATTCAGGTTTCCATTATCATTTCTAATTTCCCGAGCCATTTTGGAGTTTTTTTTGTTTTGTTGTGTTATTTTTTGGACATCTGTTATTTCTTTATCGCAACTTGTGTTATTCCTTTAAGACGTATTAAAGCAGGACATTTAGTTTTTCCCCCAGTATTAATGTCACCATGGCTTGCACTAAAGTAAACAAGAAGCCTTCTGCAGTTTTGTGGACTCTTTCAGCATTAGCAGTTAAGTAACATAAATTAAAAAATATGGTTTAAGGTGTACAGCAGTGGTGAAACAAGCAGCATTTTTCCTGTTTCCAGTTCATTCAGTGGAGAATATTAAAAAAAAAAAAAAAATCTAAAAAGCCCCAAACAACCTAACTTGTTGGATTTCAGTCAGGAAATAGAAAATAATTTCTTCCTCGAATCCCAGCTCAGAATGATTTTATTGGAAATTTAAAGATGCTTTAACAACAACAACAAAAGATTGAGTAACAAGTTTTGAATAAGTTTTGATTTGTATTCCCTTTTAAGAGGGGGAGTTTTTTATGCCTGGTCAGGAAAGCAGAAAGTAATGACTGTTTCATGACTTAATTAGAGCATCTTCAAACAGTAATTTTCCAATTGACAACTTTTTTTCCTTATTTTATAAATCAAATCCTAATCCAACTAAAACCATGTTTCCTTTAAATGCAGACTGCTCTTTTACTAAAGAAACATGCAACAAGGTAATCCAAATAAAGGCTGCCAGGACACCACATGAAAGAGTAAAACCTCCAAAGAAATAATCCTCAAATCCCCATAAACCCTTTTAAACCTGACGCTGCACTGTATTAGTCACTGGACATTTCTGAATGAGGTCACAAGCTCCCAAATCATTACAGAACCAGCCTCCAAAACACTTCCTACAGTTCATAAACAACCCAAAAGAATAGTTTGGGTATCTTGAGGCTTATCCTTGGGGAACAGAGGGTGTTGCCATGTTAGAAAGCCTGCATACCTTGAGCATCCTCAGAACAGCTGGGGGAAGGGTTACTGATACAAAACCACAAGTTTAATTTGTGGAAGCAGGGGATAAGAGAGGTGAAAAGAAGAACCCCCACTTGGGTGGAGTGTTCTAGTAAAACCTCAGCTTCTCCATAGGACAAATTGTTGACATTAATGCATTTATTCATTTGACCATAGTCCAAGCAGAGTCTAAGGCCACACACACAAAACAGAAGGTGCAAATAAAATTCTGAATATTTTTTTCTGCAATGGTTTACTGATCAGACAACTAAGAAAGCTCCTTTTTGGAAGGGAATCAGGAAAGCCATAGTATGAACCGATTTAAGGGGGTTTTTTAAACAAAATTTTAACAGTTATCAGCAATTTACTTTTGCCTCAAACAGAATGTATAAAAAGATTTTCCCTCTAAGAGGTTTCCATATATGCAAATAGTGACCTAAATGTAAGCATATTCATGACTTTCTAAAGTTTGAATGAATTACCAAGCTTTATCTTTACATTTTTTATTTTGAAGCTATAAAAAGATATTCTGTAGTTTTTCACACTATCTCTATGCCTGAAGATGTCTGCACAGAAGAGCTCTCTGCACAGAAGCCAAATTTGAGAGATCTGGGATGAATTCTAGACAGTTCTCCAATACTGAGATTTTTGCATTCACACACAAATAGTGTGACACTTCAAATGGCACCAGAACTGACTGGAACAGAGCAAGAAGAAACAAGAAATTCAAATGCAATAACTTTGGGGTTTTAAATTTTTTTTTAATTAGATATCATATCAAGCTTAGTACACATTTCAGATAATAAAAAACCACTTCTTGCCCAGAACCCCAAGCTTATATGTTCATTTTCACTTTTTAAAAGGTAAAGAATCCCCAGCCAAATATATCAAAGAGTAATAAAGAATTTGAAATAAAAAAATTAACCCTCTATTGCATGTATTTTACTTTCAATATCCTTCTGTATTGCTTCCAGAAGTTAGATATGATAAAATAGAGGAATATTAAACTTGCCTTTTGTCTCATTGGACTGCTCTGCTCATTTCATCACTTTTGAAAGATGATCGATTTTGGCATGGTATGTCATTAGAATTTGTACATAAATCAGAATGTGTCATGCTCTTCCCTGAAAAATTAGAGGCCCTTTCAGCATTCCTCCTTTTAGCTAACAATAAACTATTCACATACCAGCAATCAAATCCCCTCTCAGTTCTCATCTTGATAAATTAAACAACTTGACTTAGTTCATCTTATCAGTAAAAAGGGCTTTCTGTGGCTTTGACAATCTCCATGTGGTTTTTCCTCTTGGATTTTTTATTTCCAAGATGGGGATATCAAAGCAAGTCTGAGCATGTCCGTAGCAGAGTATTAAGACACACATTGATTTTCGATTTTGCCGTGCCTGTTAGACAGCAGAGAGGATGAATACTGCACCAGGTCTGGAAGCAAAATTCTCAGGCTGATAAATATTAAGCAGCACAAAAGCTTGTACAGTATTACAAATTCAAGGTCCACTTGAATCTACTGTATTTTAGAGTCCTTTACCTACCTTTCTCACTTGTCACCTTTGCCTTAGTTTCTCTATCTGTGCATGAACCACTTGGTCTGGTTTACCAGAGAATTTATGTCAGTTACTGTTGAGAGGAAATAATAAAAACCAAAAATGATGAGTATGGTAAAATATAAGTTTGAAATTGTAATTCAAGTCATGCTTGCCAGATAGTGCATTAACATTTTCTAAGCTGACAAGGTACTGCTGCTTTTACAAAGCATGAGGATTGATTTAAAACTCTGCTGACTGAGCTGGTATTCACTACTCACTCAAACCCACTCTGGAGATATAACTGGCATGTCAGATTTAGTACCCTCAGATAAAAAGAGAGAGAAAATGGCTTTATTGTTGGTATAACCATCACACCACTGACATTTTTCATTACAACATTACAAATTTAGCTGAGGAGAAGAATTGACAGAGGAGAATAATAACTGAATTCTTTCTTCCAACTGAGTACCCTTGCCTTTAAAGTGTTAATACATCTCTGTTTAAAAATATATAAAATTAATGGGGAAAGGTCCCCAGTTTCTGTATGTAGAATGTCTTTGGAGCCAGAATGTCATGGATATTAAAAGGCTTGGGGTTGGACAGGCATTGCTGGAGGGTCAGCACAGCAGCACAAAATGTTCTTCCAGCCCCTTTTTAAGCTGCAGGGCAAGTCCTCTCTTGCTGTAAGTTATCTCGAGGTGTTTACCAGCTATTAACCTAAAAGTGGCTGTAATTTCTCAGCCTGTAATTACCAACAGTGACTAAACCTGATCAGGCACCATCCTGTCAGCTGTCTGGGATTACAGATGCAAGGCACCTCTCCCTCTTTCCAGTCATGACAATTCATTAGTTCTGCTGTTTGAGAGCAGCTGTACCATTTGCTGTGAGGTAATTTATTCAGATTCCCTCAGACTTATTGCTGAAACGTGGGAAGAGGAGCGTTTTGATGAGGCTGTGTATTTACTGTCAGATAACCCAAGTTGGATCTGTGGTCAGAAGTGATGGGAGATTATGTTTCATGAGAAAAATCACCCTTTTAAAGGCAAAAAGTTTAATAAATTCCATGAGGCAAAGGACAATGTCAGTCATGTCTCACAGTGTTACCCACAAAACACCCCTAAAATTGTACACGTGAAGTTCATTAAAATTTTCCTTTTCTGTCACAGCGTATTGAAGCATTCTTCTAAAAAGCCTCTGATTTAGTCAAAGCTGATCAAAGTATGAGAACATACAAAATGCTCTGCTTGATTAGTGAATAGACAAGTAAAATTCAACAGACTTAACTGCCAAGCTAAAACAGAGGAATTTAGAATTTAGAGATTTAACTTGTGCTCAGAGAAATAACATCAACGTGTGTCTTCTGAAAAGACCTGGAACAAACCACAACACTTGGAAAACTCAGTGTAAAACTTGTGTCTCTTCTCTATCCCAGTGATAACACCCAGCCCTGCACATGACAAAGCTTGGGGAGGAAGACCCTTGGGGAGGAACTTTCATTTACTTCCCATTAATACTACACCAGCAGAGCAGTCACACCAAGCTGGGCCCAAAGTCAATCTGTAACTTCAACAAAACACCTCACTTTTGTTTCATTGGAATACTATTTGCTATATTTCTTTCATATATACATTATATAACCACGGCCCCCACGACTGACTGGAACTGAGGATGCTCAGCTGCTTATGATGCCAAATTTTCCTATGGATTTAACTTGGCCTTTCACCCAGCTTTAGCATTCAAATATATCCACACGTTGAGCACACTGATATGTTTCCAGCAATGAAATGTCAAAAACACTGACAACCTCTTCAAGGTCTTAAATCCAATATCCTGTGGCCTCACTGACTTCTGGATTTTAATTTGCTATCCGAGTGCACAGTAATTTCTGGTTATCTCTGTCACAGTCTTAAGCACATCTCAAGATGAAATTTTGGCAGGTTGTCATGTTTGTTAAGAGCAGGTGCTCTGACTTTTTGCAGCTGGTGTTTTTTTTTTTTTTCCTATCTGTTCTTTGAAACTGGGCTCTGTGTGTGTGTGAACCATCTCTGACCATCTGAATATGTAGATCTTTTAATCCCCATTTTCATACATACATGCACAGACATTAATTTTAATCAGGGAAAGCAGGATGAAATACCAATAAAAGAGGAGTTGTTAGGCATGACATTTCATTTATGGATGTAGCTGAGAAGATTAATGTCTGAGCCAGCAGCCTGTCCATTACCACCTTCCACTGCTGAGGAACAACATCATGTGTAACAACTCACTCCTCACTGAGCACCAGGAATTCTCACTTGCCAGATCATTCTCTCGCCCTTAATTTGTCCATGCAATACTATTAATTAAACCATGAAGACCAGATTATTTTCAGTGAGGAATCCTGCATGATCCCTTTTCAGGGCACATGAGAAAATCAATGTACTGAAATATTTGTGTACTTTCTCTTGGTTAATACTTTAAATTTCTTTCATGTGTGACTTACCTGGAGGAAGGTTAGTCTGCTCCCCAGGACTCTGCTCACTGAAAGAAAAATTCAAAGCAAAGGAATGCACCTGTGAGCTGGATTCAACTGAAGATTGAACTAATTCCCTTTGAGCACTTTATATGGCAAGGGGTGGTTTTAAAGTCTGGTCCCATTTCATAATACAAAAAGCTACTTTTGGCTGGATACACTGAGAAAAATGATAAAATTGTTCTTACCACTATTTTACCTGGCCAAGTAGCAAGAACAGAACTGAGAAGCAAATTTTAAGAGTGAAAACAAAGTGAATTTACAAAAAATAGTGCATGGATAGGTTAGATAATAAACGCTTTTACAAATAATTATCCATAATCTAGAAAGAGTATGGAATAACATAGCAGAGACTTTGAATGGAATCAGCTATGGCTGAAACACCCCTTCAAAGCAGCTCTCCTCTTCTGAAACCATCCTGTAAATTCCATGAGGATGGCTGTAAGCAGAGAGCCCAGCAGTTCTGATTAAAAATCAGCAGGGCAGTGAGGAAATGTTTTAGCAGGAGCTTCATTTGTTCTGATTGCCAGGACATTTGCCTTACACAGGCATTAACACCTGTACAGGGAGGAAAAAACCAAACCAAGTCAGCAGACTGAGTAGAGAACAACTCTGTTGCTCCCCACCCCTCCACATTCAGGCACCCCTAAAAATAAATCTACTTAAGTAGGGGGAGAAGAGAAAGAGAAAAATTAGAGGAATCACACAGAATCATAGAATACTTTGATTGGAAGGGACCTTAAATCTCATCCAATTCCAATCTTTTGCCATGGGCAGGGAGACCTTTCACTAGACCAGGTTACTCAAATTTCTATTTAGGTTTGCCTTGAACACTTGAAGAACCCACAACTTCTCTGGGCAACCTGTGCCAGTGCCCCACCACCCTCTGAATAAAGAATTTCTTGTTAATATCTAATCTGGACCTGGCTTTTCTCATTTTAAAGCCATTACTCCTTGTAGGAGAAGGGAGAATATTGTTGAAAATATAAGCAGATTTGTTTCCAGACATAATTTCCAGAATGATTATTCTACAACTGAATTAGGAACTGATCCTTAGTGACTTGGGTCCCTTTTATTCTCCAACCTCTCTATTCACACTGCTAAATTAATTTCCTGCTTCTAATATGAAATGGGAAAACACACTTTTTAGGGGAAAAATCATTATATATCAAGTACAACACTTGGAAATGAAGAAAAATCCATTTTATTTTAATGTCTTTTAAACAGGGTGATACCTTTGAATTTTACCTCAGGGGAGCATTTTAACAGATCTAAAAGAAAAAGAAAAGCATTGCCCAAGTTGCCTAGCATTTAGGGGAATATCCCTAAGAAAGTATTTATTTCCACACCAGATTAGAGAGAAAACAAAGGCTAAGCAGATTATGATATGACACCTGTGGGTGTGAAAAGGGGAACATTAAAAGAAGACTGTATTCTTTACCCCGTGAATGCAAATAGATTCATAGCAATAGTTTTGATGCTGTCTTGTGTTTAAAAAAAAAAAAAAAATCCTGCTGTAAGTGCAGAGATCAAGGATATTTTTAAAACCTCAGAGAAGGAATTTCCTGTCCTAGGTGATTCCCAGAACAGAAACCATGTACCAGCACAGGAAGTGTTATCCCAGTAATCTGAGCGCCTCCACAATTTCACACGTGCATCGTGTATACAGTAAGATTGGCAGGAAAAACCCAACCCTTATTAACTCAAATCCATGATTTATGAAACCTCTGAAATTCAGAGGTGCTAGACATGTTCAGTCACTGCCAAGGACTTCATTCCTTTACTGTGGATACTGTTCAAAAGACAGTGAGAAAATCCACTGTGCTCAAAATAGAACAGATTTGTTTGCACTACTCAGCAAGGAGTAAAAAGGCCATCCCTGCTTTTATCAAATGCTGCCTTTATTTCCAGCGATGTTTTGTGTATTTTAAGTACCTAAGTACTTCACTAAACACTTTTCTACCATCTATCACGGATCAATATCACAAAACTTCTTGACACCCCTTACATTTTTCAGAAGGGGAATCTTCACACTGGACTAGCTTGACTTGGGAAAGTGTTACTATAGAAAATCGCTGGAGAATGATTTTGTTGGCAGTGAAAAATAGGTTTCCTGAGCTTCTCTCTTCGAGGAAATGCACTGGCTGCCACCAGCAGGTATTTCAGCACACAGCTTTCCCTCCTCCTCACAGTCACATCCTTTCTGCTGCTCCAAAATGTCACACACTCTGCAGACACCTTAACATCTGCCTCATTACTTGTTATTAGAATTGTCTCTGGTAACAAAAAAGAAACTCACAGCCAATTTTTCCACCAGGAGTATCTGTCATCACCTTGGACTTCGCATGCAATGCACTTGGAAAATGCAGGGAGAGGTGTCTGACATGCAGGTTGCTTCACCATGAAAATCTCCTTTTTTTTTCTGCCATGCCTATTGTGCTGAACAGTAAATGAGGTGTTTGTGCTGAAATAGAATGTGCTTGTTTGTGGCTAGGAGTCAACAAGTTAAACAGCTCCCTGGAGCATTAAAGAGAGAAGAAAAATGATGATCCCAGGGAAGAAGCAATATCACAGGGAAAACATAAAGCAACACCTGAAGAACCATACCTTTAAAATATTTTTTTATAAATTGATGCTCTACTGGAATTAAGGAGACTAAGGAAATCTCTGCTTCTCACCTCACACCTGCACATAAGGATGAGCAGTTCAATTGTGGAGTGGCCATGCTGGTGATAGTAAAAGGGTTTTAAAATCATGGGGATTTAGGGTTAAAAGGAAAATTAAGCTTAGTAGGCCCTGAAAAGAAAAATAAATACCCTAGGTACATGAAGACTTTGTACCTTGCTAGAACTGCACCTGTGTAGCTAGTACATGATAAATTATACAACTGTTAGATGTGATCATTGTTTAGTAATTAAAAATAATTACTGTTTAATTGTAAGAATAACCATGGGAGACTGTGGTCAGGGACCTAAGAAAGATCACAAGAAACTCATGTCAATGTATAAAATAGAATAATATAGGTTTAATAATTAATATGTAAGTCATATAATGATAGACTATAAAATATGTTCAGCTCAAAAGCCATGCCAGAGTCAGATTTGGGTCTGTACCCCTGATTCCCAGAGCTCTCAATAAAAGAACCTGTATGGAATCATATCCCATGATTATGTGTGTTCCTGGACACTAACACAGGGACTGTGCTGGCAGCCCCCTGATCACAAACAAAAAGCATATCCAACATTAATACCACCAAAAAACATATCCAAAATTTTCTACCATTCAAATGATGTGGCAGAAGCCAAGATGCAGTGCTCTCTTTAAAATTCAATTTTCATAGAAAGGGAACATTTATTACTTTAACAAAACATGGTTTAGACAGATCAGCACAATTACAAAAGTCATACTACCAACAGCATCTGGTACTAGCTATCAGAATTGTCCTTTAAAAGAAATACCTGGAGATTAAATGCAAAAATCCAGCCCAGTACAGTTTATGAAGTATAATCAAAACTCAGTGTGTGTGACTGATGCCCCTGCAATACACTTTTACCCATATCCATCCCTGAGATAAGTTATCTTGGTACCTTCAGAGGGCTCCTTCTCTTCATGGTTTTAAAGAATTCTTAAAAGTTCCAGAACTGGAAACTTACTCTTGTTTGAAAACATTGCATCAAGAGCCCTCACCAAAACCCAGCCCACAGCATTTTACAATTTTCTGTACCTGCTGCCCCGTGCAGAGGACAACTCAGTGCAGCTCTGAGCCACTCCTGGTCCACCTGCATCACCTCTGGGCTCTGACATCCCTTCAGGCAGCCAAGCTTTTAAAGTTACCTAATTATGACCATTATTATTTCTACAGCTCCTTTCATGTAAGAATTACAAAGTGCTTCAATAAACAATTCCAGTTAATAAAAAAGAAAGGGGAAATTTTTTTTTTTTTTTGCTAATCAAGCCATCAGGTTTTCTTAGGATGCAGGTGTCATTCTCATTCCTGCTGTAGGCTCCCTGAGTGATTGTGAGGAAATTATTTGTGTTCTTTGTGCTTTAGCTCTCTATTCATTAAACTGAGATAACAGCACTTCCTTTCTCTGACCTTTTGTGCGTTTTCTCTGAAGTCTATTGTAAATTTTACTGGGCATGTACTGTATCTTATTATGTGAAAATTCAGTATCTATTAAAACCTTCATTTCAGTTGGAATCTCAAACAGCTAGAGAAGAAATAACAACATACAGACATTTCAGGTGGAATAAATGTGTAACGTATTAATTTCTTTTAAAATACAACACACTCCAGCTGGGAAGTTTTAAGATGAATGACAGTATGAAATAGATATTTTAATTCTGTGCTTTGTAATGCCACATCCTCTTACAGGCATCCAATATTAATGTGGAAATCTCTCTTAGAATATAAGATATTACTTCTAGCAACCAAAGTAGCATTGATTACCCCATGTATCCTTTTTAAGCCCTTCATTTTATAGCCTGAAAGTTATTTTTAAGACACAATCTTGAAGAAAGGAATCTTTGATACAGCAGAAATCCTCTCAAACAAAGGCAATAGACAATGAATATTTAATGGGTGACTGTCTCAGGATTGATCTGCTAAAAAACCCAAAAAAACCCAAATCTCCCAAACCACCCAAATAAATCAAAGCCAGCAAAAGCAGAAACAAAACAAAGAGTCCTGACTGTGGTTAGAGATGCTCAGTATCATTTCTGAGGCTTAATTTTCTCGAGGAGAGGCCAGCAGAGATGGTTTCCAGAAACCTTCCCTCCTCAGGTGGCTGAATCCCAATGCCAAGTGCCAGCATTCCTGGGATCAGATGGAATATTCCCTTCACTGGGAGATTCTGACCACAGAACAATGTATAATACACACCAAGAAATGAGCAAGGATGATGGGAAACCCCAGGCTGACCCCTGGCTTTAAGCACTTTTTATTTTGCTGTATTTCAGACCCAGTGATACACAGAAGGCCACGGGGAAGTTGCACCTTCAGGATCAT